TTCGGGACCTCTTGGTTCCAAGCCAAACACTCTGCCCTTATGCCACACGACCCTACACATGTTGTCACGATAATTATGCTTAAGTACCATAGGTAACATCCTCTCTGTTGTTTCATAGTCCGTTAATGGCCTTGTAACAGGACATGTACATGTATGTCACAAAAGTAGAAGGCTTGAGACCATGTTAGTTTGTTTGAACCCCAGGACTTCTGGAGCATGCTGAGTGACCATGACCTCTCCTATCGTAACATCATCGCCCTGGCCTTCTACTGTATTTATACAGGTGAGTCAGATTGTTGTAAGTTATGCCTCACTACACGACAGTGGTAGTACTAGTGTACCTGCTAACATGAGGCTGTCGGCAGAACGTACTGCACCAGCGCAAAAATCAATATTTTTCACGGTTTTCATTGGATATTGGTCAGTAATTTGCATTAGAATTTTGCCTGTTGTCAGTGTTAAAGATTTAATAAAACCTTTCCAAGACAACATTTGAAAACAATAGACGTGTCATCCTTAAATAGACAAAATACAACCTTAATTTATAATAATAAAGGAGATGTTCTGTCAATGTGCAGCTAGCTTCATGCAAATTGTTTTCAAATGATATATTCTCAAGTTTTTCTTGTGTCAATTGTAAATTCTTGTTACTTTACAAAAAAAGATAATTTCCCAATGGACACATTTCACCTTTGCATTAGCAGCCAAAGCTTTCATCATTTTGGAACTGCCTTCTGTACAAGACAGCAATTCATGTTATGACTTCATGTATCTATGTAAATATATAAGATTTTTCACACTAGAACCAAGATATGTATATATTCTGGTGTTTTGCCCATTCAGACTTGGAGTGATATTTTCTTTGTACATTGATGCCCCAGGTCAACAGAGAGTAGCCAGTGCAGTGGAAAAGGAGGCAGCCTGTCTGGCCACAAGTCTGTACTTCAACCTGTTACAGGTGCCAGGTAAGCTAGGTGTTTACAGAGTTACTACTTAAGTAGACTGTTTTACAAGTATAATATTGCAATACCTGTTTATTCCCATGGGTTTGAAAATCAGCCTGCCAGAAATTTTCTAATTGAAGACAACTTTATGGACAATGTCCATTCTCGTATAAAGAGCTGTATGGTAATAATTCAAGGCTTTAAATATGCCTATAAGTAATGCAGGTTAGTGCAGGTGAAATTGGAACTGTGCAGGTAGTACTGATGTAGGTGTACTGATCGAGGGGAAGAAAAACAGAGACTCGCATCAGAACTCAGGCACTCTAAGCATAAAAACAAACAATAAGTACATGGTGGAGAAGTTGTATCTTCATGGTATTATGAGACCGAGGAAATGTCTACGTAGGTGTATGTGGATTTTTATTTGCTTCATTGACTGTTGACCACCTATGAAGTATAAAGTCAGTTTCAAGTTTTGATCTTTTCCATGTATTCTGTTGTGAACCACAGGTAGTGGTGCATACGGCACGTTCCATGCTGTGTTGTTTGAGAAGGCCATGAATGTACTGAAGCAGTGGCCCCAGTCTGGAGGGAACAAACGCAAACATAGGAACGACGGTGCAGAGGCAGGGAAGAAACCATCCAAGGCTCCCAGGAGGGGGGGTCAGGCCCAGGGCAGGGAGGAGGACATGGAGCAGGAGGGAGACAGGTCTGTTTGTTTGTTTGTTTGTTTGTTTGTTTTGCATAAACGATAAACTGCCTTTAGGTGTAATACATCAGTTTTGTAAGTATAATCTGTGCAAGACCGAGCGTACTGTAATGTTAAGGTTT